TCGTGCGGTTCGATGTGGAGGGTTGAACCCAAAAAGGAAGGGGCCCATCTGGAGCCCAGTACAATCCTCCTAACCTAAAATGACTTGACTCTTGGGCCAACAATTACGGTTTCTTTCTCTAGCTAGTTTATCGAACAAGAAACTGTAAGAGCAGCATGAAGCAAGGGAGGCGACCAAATGACCCCCACCTTTTCTTGAACATTGAAAATAATCAAAGTGATCTCTATCTAGGATCATTCTTTTCCAATAACTTCAAATTTGGTAGGCAAAGTTCTTGCTGCAAGTCGAAATTTGTTCGTGAGTATCACCGGGTTTAGTATCCATCAGGCCAATTAACGTAGTCTATAGTCTTCAGCGGATACCCTTTTTTCAGGGAAATCCCAAATCTGTTTCAGAATGAAATCGGGGTATGGACCTTTTATAGGATCTCAGCTAATAGGTGGTTGTGAGCTTGAGTGTTGTATTTTTTAATGTGAAGACAATAAAATATATATACAGGTTACATATCATGCACAATAAACTTATGTGCTTATGTATAATTTGTAGTGATTTGAAGTCTGTTGCGACCTAAATTTCTCAGGCTAATAGATTATTAATACTAAACCTAACTCGGGCCCTCTCAAGCCCTACCAATTCGCAATTTAGTGTTTAAGTTTTTAACATGCAAAAGTTTTCATTCTTGGAGTCGCCACTAATCTATTTGTGGTAGGTCGATTAGAAACCTAAATAAAACATAGGGAGATATGTTTTATTCCTACGAACCAGAGATTCTAAGCTCGGGGACTTGGTTACGCTAGATCTAGTCTAACGCCCTTTCGGTACCTTTTCTTTTCAATAAATGTTTATGCATGCAGTCTGGATCCATTTTAACTTAGTCACTAGCATGTGAGGTGATCATGCGGGTGCGCAAACCACCAAAGTAACACCCAATAATCAAAACATTAAATAAATTGCAAGATTGGAAGAATTACTTACCTCGAAGCAACGTAAGCATCTGCATTGTTAGCTAGAAAATCACATCAACAATCCTAATATGATTTCTAATTAACAAGCAGTTCACTCAATATTTTTTAGGATTTTTACTTATTTAAATGAAAACTAACCTATATGTAATGACGTGCAAAAATTAACATGCGATTAATGCAGCCTAACATGCAAACTATATGTCATGCGACGACGTGACCTAATTCTAATGATAGACAAATTAATTTATTTTTGGTATTTTCAAATAAAATTCGGAATTAAAAATTACTCAAATTAACATGCAATCCATCCTAGAGAAAATGATTTAATCTATCCTAAAGTGGCTTCTTTTTGGTATTTTTATGAAAATTCGAAATCAAGAATTACCCTAAAATGAACCGTCGAGATCAAGATAATATCTAAATTAAACTAGGAAATAAATTACTCTAATTCCTAATTTAAATTAAAAAGTTATCCTATTGACTTATTCAAAGAAAGTTATTCTAAACCTATCCTAAACATGCATCATTATCTTCTAATAAAATCAATTCAAATCCTAACTAATCTTTTTTTGGAATTTTCTTTTTAAAAGAAATAAATCAAATAGATAGATAATCACCACGATCCAAACCAGTCCAAGCAATCCACAAGATTTGTTTTACTATCTTTGAATTAAGGAAACGATATGAACCGACGATCATATCCATGTGGTTATGGATATTGATGGAAGGCAATTCATTTGAATTTGGGAACAAAATAAAATCTATTATCGTATCCAAATAGTTATGGATAGGATAAAGATTTTCCGTGCCACCGAGTATCGTATCTCATGGTTGAGATCGGATAGTCGTCCCGACACGTTATCAAGTTAGGAAAGTTTCCTAACTTTGGGTGATTTTTAAATATTTGCGGATATCACATACGCACCCAAAGATTAACAAAAATTCATAATAGATAACAATATCACCCATATCATGTAATGAAATATTCAAAACGATATCAGATGAGATCGTTACCTAATTTGCGGATAGTTTCCAAATTCGAACTCGCGGATCGGGATTGCGGATCGTGATGAGCGGCGAACGGTGGCCGACGGATCGATGGCGGGCAGCGACTCCCTGCAGGACAGCAGCGGCGGTACTGACCGAGTTTGCGCGGGTCGACAATAGCAGCGACGAGCGGTCTTCGGAAGTCGCGGAATAGCAGCAGCTCACCACGGGAGGGCGGCGAACGTCAGGGATGGCAGCAACTTCGGACGATGTCGGCGTTGTGGTGGGGAGCAACTCGTGATGAAGGACGGCTCAACACACTGGAATCACGGTGACAAGGATGTAGAGACAACGAACACCAATGGAAATCACGGATGGAGATGAGACCGTGCACAGCAACAATCTGCAAAGGAACGATGGCCGAATGTCTTCTCTTTGCTCGTGTGGTGAAGAAAACTAGTCATGCAATTCTTGGTCTGCCAACGTGGCAGAGTATAATGTGTTCCCCATCACTTGACTTTCTCAATTTCCACTTCCTGTTTGGTTCTTCCTCTTTCCTTGTCTTTTCTCTGTACGGTGAAGACCCCTTTTGGCGACTTCTCCAATATGATGAACGAGTGTCCAGTGTCTCACCTGCAAGAAAACAAAACAGAACTCCTTGGGTGTGTTATGCTCCTCCACTCTCTATTCTCTCTATGCTCTCTCAATTGCTCGGCCGATTCCTTCAATGTAGTAGTCGTGTCCTCTCAATATATGCCTGTACGTGTGTATCTCTGTATGAACGAAGCCCCTCCGAGAACCTTTTGGGCGGACGCTCCCTTTTCTTCTCTCTCGCTTTCTTGTGGCCGTGTATTCAATATGTGTGGCCTCCCTTGCTCTCAAAAATTATGTTCTCTGAAAATTATGAGAGCCCCCCACTTGATTATGACGCATAACGACATATTTATATCGCAACTCTAGATTAATTAACCGGGCTTCCTAGTCCTAATGGGCTTAGACTTAGGTTTTGTCATTTAATTTTATTTTAATTCCAAATGGGCTAAATTAATTCAGCCTGATTTAAGCTCAAATTAAAATAACCAAAGCCTTTTAGACTTGTGAATTTTGGTCCCCAATCCCTTGAGTGAGCCAAGTGCTCGAGCTCGGTTTAAGCGATGAATTTTCAGCTTTCTGGCCACCACCGGTCCGATACAGAATGCAACTAATCTTTATGAACTTAAACTATATGCTATGCAATTTTAATATTTTTGTTTAGGGGTTAAAATTTAATCCCTAATTTTCTATGCAAATTATTATTTAATGGTTGGTCGAAATTTAGGTGTCAACATACAGGTTACATATCATGCACAATAAACTTATGTGCTTATGTATAATTTGTAGTGATTTGAAGTCATATCCTTTAATAATATGCAAAGATGACAAATGATATCAATGCTACACATGACTCATATGCAGCCAAGATAAAAGTCAGGATAGGTCTTATTATATATTTGGTTCATGTTCATGGCGGGATAAGGCTGGATATAAAAGGGATATAGTCTTGATAAAAAAAAATCATGTGGAGATTGGATAAAGCTGAGTATGATTTCTTATACCCATGGTATAAAAGCTATTTTTTTAATAATAAAGTTCTTAAGTTAATAAAATCAAATAACATTTAAATAAAAATAATAACTAAATTATAATATTAAAAATAAAAATCGAAATAAAAATAATTTTCATTTTTATTTATTCATATTTTTATTTACACGTTCAAATTTCTTTCTATTTTATAATATATATTATATATGTTTAGTATTTATATTTATTACATATTGTAGGTATGTTAGTATAATATAATTTTAATTAAGGAATGAAGGAAGGGAGTAAAGAAATAAATAAAAAAAGAGAGGGAAAAATAATTAAAAAAATAAGTGAATAAAAGAGAAGTAAAATAATAGAATCTTTCTAATTCTCGAATAACGAGGGGCAAAGAGATTTCTTAAAAAAACCACCCTTACCTTCTCCTCTGTAATTTTGATTCCTATCGAAATTTTACGACTTCTCCGTAACTCTTTGGTTTATGTCGAACCTCCGCGAAAACAACGAGAAAGTCATAGTTCATTTTCCTTCATAACTCTCCGGATCACATAGAAACTTTACAAAAATGGCGAGAGAGTCGTTGCACTATACTTTTCAGAATTACGAAGGTGGATGATTATGCTTTTTCTCTCTTACTAGATTTGGCATTCACTAATTGATCTATCTTGTCAATGTCTTGTAGCCCGTTTACATTTCTTGTTATGGTCGAAGCCACGGTTCTGGAATGTTGCAATGAGCTCATTTATTGTTGAAGATTTAGATTTTGTCTTTGTTCGTGCAATCGTGGTTTCTTTAATAGTGAATCGTGAGAGAATCTTACCATTTCCATTTGTGTATTTTTAAATTATATTCACCAAACAATTGATACGATATAGTAAAGTCCCTAGATTTTATAGTCATCCTATCCGGTCCTGTCATGGCTAGAAATCATAAGAATAAAGGCAGCTTATATGTTTTCATATATGTTTTCCTGCTATACATGTAAAGACCTCGTTATTTTCTACATTAGGGTCACCTTAATCAAATGCAGGATGGGAAAACAAGGAAACATTGCCATAAGTACTATATATGTAGTTCATGTTATTTCCTTCATTAATTAGGGTCACGTTTATCAAAGGCAGGATGGGAAGACAAGGAATAGTGTTGCTGCAAGTCCAAATGCAGTGAAGATAGACGCCTTATATGCCGGCTACACAAGCGCCTGAACCGCCCACCAATTCTCTCTGCACTAGTCTCGCACACTCTCTCTCTCTCTCTCTCTCTGCCCTTTCTTTCACCCTTTTGAGTACAGCCTAATCAAAACCAAATCCAAAGCCACGTCTCTGTCATCTAGTTCCGTTCACCTTCATCATCACCATAATTCGTCATTCATGCATGCAGTCCTCATCGTTGGGTCTGTTTTAACATTCACGCAGGAGATATAGGGACGTGATGGGGACAACGAGAAGCAGCCGTGTCGTCCTAGTTGGAAGCACGATGGTGTTGATGGCGGTGATGGCGGTTTCAGAAGTCTCGGGGCACGATTATGGAGATGCATTGAGCAAGAGCATTCTCTTCTTCGAAGGCCAGAGATCGGGCAAGTTGCCGTCTTCCCAGAGATTGACTTGGAGGAAGGATTCCGGTCTTCAAGATGGTGCCGAAATCGGCGTACATTCATCTTCTTTCTCTTTCGTCCCGAGTAAAGCAAGTTTCGTTAACAGAAATGCTCACAATTCTGACCCAGATTACCATTTTAAATAGGGAAAAGAAAAACTACAAAAAACTCCAAATTATGTCCCATGTGAAACATTAACTTAAGTCTACATACTATAACACATTTACCCTAATATGTGACATAGAAAACTCAAACTCATATCTATGTGACACATTTACTTCGGTCAGATGATTTTTTAGCTAAAATAATGTCAGCCATGGACGTTATGTCAACACCATCATTTGCTTTTTAGCTTCCATATAGATAGATTTTTAAGTAAACTCATTACACAGATACAAGTTTTAAATTTTTGACGTCACATAATAAAGTTTGGAGAAAATATGTCACGGACTTTTGCTTTCTAGATATGATTTTGTCCCTTAACGTCCCGCTTTGGCCCGTTTGGTTTTGGTAACCCCAGCTGTCTAACGTCCCCTATTAGTAACGGGCCATTGAATGTCCACGAGATTAAGCAATATGACCATTGACAAATTATTGTCACACAGCTAAAAAGAATGATCATCCAGAGCATCCAGTAAAAATTGACATGATGTGTACGTAGAAACAATCAGATTTGTCCAAATGATGTATGCATCCAATCTGTCTCGCAGGTTGATTTGGTGGGCGGCTACTACGACGCCGGCGACAACGTCAAGTTCAACTTCCCAATGGCATGGTCCACCACAATGCTCGCTTGGAGCGTATCTGAGTTCCGGAAGCAAATGGGCCAGGATCTCCCGCACGCACTCGACGCGATCCGCTGGGCCACCGACTACTTCCTCAAGGCCACGATTGAGCCCGGGCTCGTGTATGCACAAGTAGGCGAACCTTACAGCGACCACTACTGCTGGGAGAGGCCCGAGGACATGGACACCCCTCGAACCCCTTATTCTGTGAGTACAGAGTCACCTGGCTCGGAAGTTTCGGCCGAGATCGCTGCCGCTTTGGCCGCTGCTTCTCTGGTTTTTAGGTCGGTCGATCGTGGCTATTCGGACCAGCTGCTAAGTCGGGCTAAAACGGTAGTCACCGAGTATCAACATCCTTTATTTAAAAAACAAAGAGAGTTGTAGAAGCATGCATATAGTCTTTATAAGGACATGTGGTATGTGTTTCAGGTGTTTGAGTTTGCGGATAAGTATAGGGGGTCGTACAACGACAGTATTGGATCAGCGGTGTGCCCATTCTACTGTGATTACAGCGGTTATGAGGTACGCATCAGTTAGTAAAATACATGTATTTTCTACAAAATTTATGTACGTGTAATGTTACGGTAAAGTTTTCCATTATCCCTGAAATCTCTAGAGTATAACCTATCAAGGAGTTTTAGTTTCGAAAGGCTCACTTCAAAATAACAGGACGAGTTGATTTGGGCAGCATCATGGTTATTCATGGCGACCAAGGAACCTGACTACTGGAATTATGTTGTGGCAAACATGGATAATCTGCAGTACTGTAAGTTTAAAACCATCAACTCCCTTCCTAATGGAGGCAGTAGCTTTGCCGAGTTCGGGTGGGACTCGAAGCATGCCGGTATCAATGTCCTCGCTTCCAAGGTCATCGATTTAAATCTTCACTTCGTCGCGGCTATTAAAAATAAATCAGGGGAAAGCTCCGTGTATTTCATTCTTATGCATTACTTTTGCTTCCCACTGTTTGTGCAGCAGATTGTCATGGAGGATAGTAACTATACCAATCTGTTCGTGCTCAACGCCGACAGGTTTGTGTGTTCGGTTTTGCCTGAATCGCCGACCAAATACGTCAAGTACTCCCCTGGTATTTTTCATGCTTTAGGTTCACGTTTCTTCTCTAATTTCTGCTAATCTTGTCGATAAACGACAAGAAGTGACTTCGCATTTAATAACCTTCACTGCCGAATTCTTGATCCAACAGTCAAACTTGGGTATGTCCACATAGTTTCATTTCATCCTTGAGTGAGCAACTGTTGCTTAATCTGTCAACTCATTCAGGGGGACTCCTATTCAAAGAAGGAGGGAGCAACTTGCAGCATGGCACAGCTCTGTCCTTTCTTCTTATCGTTTATGCTCGCTACCTGAACCGCGCCAATCGAGACGTTCAATGTGGCGATGTAAAGGCCACTCCGGGCAGGCTCATTCAAGTAGCTAGAGGCCAGGTACATCTCACGATCATTAATACAATTGCAGGTTGCAATTGAACCAAACCATGTGAGGTCATAAGACTAGTGCACATGCTTGTCGTCTATATTTGCCGTAGTTCATGGCTCGTTACTAAGTACGAGAAGCAAAATCGTTGAAGTGATTGGCAAGCTTAACAGAGAATGACAAAATCAAAGATCAGAAAGAGAGTAATTTTAGGAAGACTCATTATATCTATCTTTGGTCGTTCCACTTTGCAAGCGGACTATATATTAGGAAGCAACCCGTTGAACATGTCGTACATGGTAGGATACGGCGGGAAATTTCCTCAAAGGATCCATCACAGAGGCTCTTCCTTGCCATCATTAGATGAACACCCGCAACATATCGGTTGCAAGGACTGGGAGCCGTACTTCGAGAGCAGCAGCCCGAATCCGAACCAGCTGACCGGGGCTGTCGTTGGAGGGCCAGACATCGAGGATCGGTACAACGATTCTAGAGCCCATTTTGTACACTCAGAGCCGACGACGTACATTAATGCTCCTCTTGTTGGTGTCCTGGCTTTCTTCAAAGGGCGGACAGAGCCATAGACATCTTTTTTTGGTCTGTAAATCCATAGATATTGAAATGCGGGGAAATAAAACAAGAATTTGCACAAGGAACTCATCAACCACTTCCTCCGAAATTCAGATTCCTTTATCTTCACCTTTTCCTCTGAAACAGAACGGTGGTGTGAACGACCGTAACAGGTGAATTCAAAGGAGAGAAGGAAGTCATTGAACCAGCTCAATGATAAATACTAATTTTTCGAAAATCTGAGAGGAAGCAGAAGGGAGGGAGAGATAGAGACTGTATGCACTAAGAACGTGGTACTAAGTTTTATGAAGCGAGTTATGTGGCAAGTGAACAATTGGTGATGAAACGAATTCGTGGAGCCTCAATTTTTTTAGTAACTAATCAAGACATGCGTCATGTGAACGACATTGTTTACTAAATTTTATGTAAGGAGCGATATGACCCTAGCAAGTACTTGACTGGAACTGCGCTTTACATGCTATTGCTAACATGTGAGCTTTGTTAATGTTCCATATTTGGATGCACAGTTTGGAAGGGGAACGACCAAAAAATAGGAAAGATGCCATATAATACTCCTTAAACTTTGGTCCAATGTGGAAGGGCTAGATTTACCATTTAAGTCCATTTAAGGACTAGATTTGCCACTGAAGTTGAATTGATTGAAAGTTTAGGGACTAATTTGAATATGTAAAAATAGTTCGAGGTTAAATTGAACAAATTAAAAGTCCGATGATGACATTGCACATTATGTCAAAGTAGAAGGACTATTAGCGCAACACTAGCACATGACGAGTAGTGACCGAGGTTAAAAGCCCCGGTGTTCACATTGTCGTGCTGTTCAATTCGAAGGCTTGAACCTCGAAAAGGAATGAACCCAAGTGGAGCCGAGTACAATCCTCATAACCTAAATGACAGACTGTTGTCGCAACATTTACGGCTTCTTTCTCTAGCTAGTTTATCGAACAAGAAACCGTATGAGCAGCATGAAGCAAGGGAGGCGACCAAATCGCCCTCACCTTTTCTTGAACATTGAAAATGCAATCTCTATGGATTCGCACTTAATCAAAGTGGTCTCTATCTAGCATCATTCACGTCCAATAACTTAAATTTGGTACGCAAATTTCTCGTTGCTAGTTGAATTTGTTCGTGAGTATCATCCAATTTAGTATGCATCACCAATTTAACGAAGTCATCTCTGCGGAGAACCTTTCTCAAGGAAATCTCAAATCTGTGTCGAAATGGAATCAAGGTATACAGCTTTTATAGGATCTGAACTAAGAGGAGATTTGTGAGCTTGAGCCTTGTCTTTTATAATGTGAGGATAACAAAATGTATACATGTTATATATCATGCACAATAAACTTATGTGCTTAGGTATCATTTGTAGTGATTTGAAGTCATATCCTTTAATAATATGCAAAGATGACAAATAATATTAACGTTACGCATGACCCATATGTAGATAGGACAAAAGTCGGGATAAGATAAAATATCCCGTGTTTGGTTCCTCTTCTTGACAGGATAAAATTAGATATAAGAGGAATATAATCCCGATAAAAATATCCCATGTAAAGATGGGATAATGGAGAATATGATTTCTTATGTCCATGGTGTAATTTGTTCTCGAATACCAAAATTCTTAAGTTTATAAAATTAAATATTATTTAAATTATAATATTAAAAAAGAAAAATAGAAAGAACAAAGCAAAAATAACAATAATTTTCGTTTTTATTTATTCCTATTTTATTTATATGTTTGAATTTCTTTCTATTCTATAATATATATTCTATATATATATATATATATATATCTAGATTACATATTTTAGGTTTATTTGTATAATAAAACTTTAATTAAGGAATGATGGAAGGGAATAAAGAAAAAAATATAAAAAGAGGGAAAATTAATAATTAAAAAATAAATAAAAATGATGTACAAAAAAAGAATCTTTGCAATTCTCAAAGAATGAGGGGTAAAGAGATTTCTAAAAAAATAAATCACCCTCTCATTCTCCTTCTTCTCTATAACTCTGATTCAGGTTGAAATTTCGCGATTTCTCCATAATTCTTTAGTTCATGTCAAAACTCCACGAAAACAACGAAAGGGTCAAAACTCCTTCTCCTCCGTAACTATCGGGATCACGTTGAAATTCCATGAAAGTAGCAAGAGAATGGAAGCACTATACTTTTTAGATTCATGAAGTTGGATGATTATGCTTTCGTTTTCTTACTAGATTTGGCATTCGCTCACTAATTTATACTGTCGATGTTGCTATAGCTCGTTTACATTCCTTGTTATGGTCAAACCCATGGTTCGGGAATGTTGCAATCAACTAAATTATAGTCAAAGATTTAGATTCTGTCTCCATTTGTGCATTTGTGGTTTTTTTTGGTAATGAATCGGTAGATATTCTTACCATTTTCGTTTGTGTATTTATAAGTTCATTCACCAAAACATAGCAAAATCTCTTGATTTCATACCTATCGTATCTGTCGTATCTTGACTAGAAATCCAGAGAAATAAATGCAGCTTACATGTCTTCAAAATTGAGTCCTTGTTGTTTCCCTCAAATGCTATAAGTCCTCATGCAGTGAAGATAGACGCCGTATACGCAGGCTACACAAGCGCCTGTGACACCCATATATTCCATCTGCACAAGCCTCGAGCACTCTTTCTCTCTTTGCCCTTTCTTTCACACACCTCTGAGTACAGCCTAATCAAACCCAAATCAAAGCCACGTCTCGCTCATCTCATTTACTTCACCTGCATCATTGCTTCAGTATATAAACCCCAATCACCATACTTCGTCGTTCATTTGGTCCTCATCGTTCGGTTTTCTTTCCCATTCACGCCAATGAGATACACAGACATGTTGGGGATCGCAAGAAGCCGCGATGCCGTCAGAGTTGGAACCACGATGATGTTGATGGCGGTCATGGCGGTTTCCGTAGTCTCGGGGCATGATTATGGAGATGCATTGAGCAAGAGCATTCTCTTCTTCGAAGGCCAGAGATCGGGCAAGCTGCCTCCTTCCCAGAGAATGACTTGGAGGAAGGATTCCGGTCTTCGCGATGGTTTCGAAATCGGCGTACGTTCATCTTCTCTCTGAGTAAATCAAGTTTTGTTACCATAAATGCTCTCAATTCTGACCCAGATTACCATATTAAAGATGATTTTCTCCATTAACGTACTGCTTTGGCCCGTTTGGTTTTGGTAACCCTGGCTGTCTAACGTCCCCTATTAGTAACAGCCACGGGCCATTCGATGTCTACGAGATTAAATCTCCAGGACCATCGAGAAGTTATTCACACGTTGCAAAAAAGAAAGGGAAATTGAACTATGGAATTGCGATTTAAGATATGGATTCGAACATATAGTACATGTATAATACATGCGTTCCTACAGTGTTTAAATGAAGTCTTGGATTTATCTGAGAAATAACTCATTTTATAGATGGCATTCGACGAACATAGCGGTCATTTTTTTTTTTTTGTGGTAAGAACATAGCGGTCATTTTATCGTCATTTTGAACCATTACTTTAAGTTCTATTGTTTATCTTCTTCTTTTTCGCGACATAACAAGCCCAATTAGGGAAATAGTACGAGAATCAATTATTTAAGGAAAGAAAATCCCTTTCCATTGGTCGACGTGAATGCATAGGAAATCAGTGCACGCGTCTACTTTGCTTTCTCTGTGTTTATGGCTTGTAAGAAACATGCATGCTTTGACAAGACCAACTTCAAACAGCAAACTGATTTATGCAAAGAGAGTAAAGTAACTGCCAACATTTGCTATAATTCATGCAAGAAATAGCTCTTTTTGAGCTTGTCAGGGAAAAAGTGGGTTTCATAAGTGCACTTCTCTATTTTTCGTCCTTGAGATTCAAGCATGTGACATAAGAGCCTTCATGAATATTTTCTTGGCTGACTTAATTTAGTACATTGTCCCAATTTCATTTCAAGCTTATTGTATTGGAGGAGGCTATCAAAATCCTCACCTCTACCTGGAAAGAAATCTGCCCGTCTTATTGCACTTTCATGCGTTATTATTAAACATATTCACATCCCTCTCCCCAATATGACATGTTAGATGTAATTATGATTTCTTGGGCAAAGAATGCGCTAATTTTAGAATGATCAAGTGGAGTGTCTAGTCGAAATTGACATGAGTGTGTACATAGAAAGATCAGATTTGTCCAAATGATGTAAGGTCATGGTAGATATTCGGATCAATTCGTCGCTAATCATCTATAGCAGGATTCCAATGTTCCAGTCGACTATTTTCTGATAAATCTAGCAGCATGTTTACTAGTTATCAGTTGTAGTGTTTGCCTTGAGTTTGTGTCACTGTATTCTTTCAATCTGTCTCGCAGGTTGATTTGGTGGGCGGTTACTACGACGCGGGGGACAACGTCAAGTTCAACTTCCCGATGGCGTGGTCCACCACCATGCTCGCTTGGGGCGTATCTGAGTTCCGGAGGCGCATGGGCCCGGATCTCCCGCATGCGCTCGACGCGATCCGCTGGGCCACCGACTACTTCCTCAAGGCCACAAGCGTGCCCGGGATTGTGTTTGCGCAAGTCGGCGAACCTTACGGAGACCACAACTGCTGGCAGAGGCCCGAGGACATGGACACCCCTCGAACCCCTTATGCCGTGAGTGCACAGTTCCCTGGCTCGGAAGTCTCGGCCGAGATCGCTGCCGCTCTGGCCGCTGCTTCTTTGGCTTTCAGGCCGGTCGATCCTCACTATTCAGCCCTGCTCCTAAGTCGGGCTAAAGAGGTAATCACCGAGTATCAACATCCCTTCTTACAACAATACAAAAGTTGTAGAAGCGTGAATATTAGTCTTGGAAGATGAATTTATAAGGACATCTTATATATGGATCAGGTGTTTAAGTTTGCGGATAAGTATCAGGGGTCGTACAACGACCATCTCGGACGATGGGTGTGCCCATTTTACTGTGATTTCAGCGGTTATGAGGTACACGTCGTTAGTAAGATACTCGTATTTTGATACATATACCTATCAAAGAGTTTTATTTTTGGAAAGGCTCACTTGAAAATTACAGGACGAGTTGATTTGGGCAGCATCATGGTTATATAGGGCGACCAAGGCACGTAAGTACTGGAATTATGTTGCGGCAAACATAGATAATCTGGAACACTATGAGTTGAAAACCATCTACTCCCTTTCTAGTAATGGCGGTAGCTTTGCCGAGTTTGGGTGGGACACGAAGCATGCCGGTATCAGTGTCCTCGCTTCCAAGGTCATCGGTTTAAATCTCCACTCCGTCACCGCTATTAAAAAATCACTCAGGGAAAAGCTCCGTGTATTTCATTCTTATGCATTACTTTTGCTTCCCACTGTTTGTGCTGCAGACTGTCATGAAGAATAGTCACTATAGTGATATCTTCGTGCTCAATGCCGACAAGTTTGTGTGTTCGGTTTTGCCTGAATCGCCGACCAAATACGTCAACTACTCCCCTGGTAATTTTCGCACTCCTGGTTCACGTTTCTTCTCTAATTTCTGCTAACCTTGTCGATGAACGACAACTAGTGACTTCGCATTTAGTAACCGTCACTGCTGAATTCTCTATCCAATAGTCAAACTTGGTTATGTCTACATATTTTCATTTCATCCTCGAGTGAGGGACTGTTGCTTAATCTGCCAACTCTTTCAGGGGGACTCCTAGTCAAACCTGGAGGGAGCAACTTGCAGCACGCCACGGCACTGTCCTTTCTTCTTATCGTTTATGCTCGCTACATGGACCGCGCCAATCGGGTCATTCAATGTGGCGATGTAAAGGCCACTCCGGCCAGGCTCATTCAAGTAGCTAAAGGCCAGGTACACCTCGCTGATTATTTTCCATGTGATATTCTTTCCTCCGCATCAAGGGAACATAGGAAAAATGAGCAGGTTGCAGTTGAACCAAACCATGTGACGTCATAAGACTAGTGCACATGCTCGTCGACTATGAAACGTTGGCGTGTATTTAGTACAATAAGTAAAATCGTTTAATTAATCGGCAAGTTTAACAGAGAATGGCAAAATCAAAGATCAGGAAGAGACTAGATTTAGGAGGATCCACTAGATTAATCTGTGGTCGTTCCATTTTGCAGGTGGACTATATACTAGGAAGCAACCCGTTGAACATGTCGTACATGGTGGGATACGGCAGGAAATTCCCTCAAAGGTTCCATCACAGAGGCTCTTCCTTGCCGTCCCTAGATCAACACCCACAACTTATCGGTTGCAAGGACGGGACGCTGTACTTCGAGAGCAGCAGCCCGAATCCGAACCTGCTGACTGGGGCCATTGTTGGAGGTCCTGACATCCAGGATCAGTACAACGATTCTAGAGTCGATATTGCACACTCGGAGCCGACAACGTATATCAATGCTCCTCTCGTTGGTGTCCTGGCTTTCTTCAAAGGGCAGATAGAGCCATAGACATTAAAATGCAAGGAAATGAAACAGGAACTTGCCTAAGGAACTCATCGACCATTTCCCCTGAAATTCAGATTCCTTTATCTTTCACCATCTCGTTCTTTCAGATCAGCAGGATTAGATGCATTGTACACAGGTGTAGGTCAGTTGCGTGAACGACTGTAACAGGTGAAATCAAAGGAGAAAATGAAGTCAGTTAGACCAACTCAATATGTGCTTATCTTTCGAATCTATTGGGTTTTTGACATATAAATGTGTTCTTTCATCGTTTCAGCAGATACGTACCATGCATTGCATGGTATGACGTGATTAGTCATTTCATAAGATCAGGAATTACATGAACAAAGCATATCACCAAAGGCTTGAAACCTCTTCTTGAACTGAAAAATCTCCCTAGGCTTCGTCAACTACTAGCTGTTTTTACTGAATATCTTGTCTAAAGAATAACTTACTCAAAATCATTTTTATAGAATAGAGAAGTGAGATAATTTGTATTCGAATTTTGATAATTTAATTACTCGTGAGCCTAATTGGAATTGGACCTTCTCTACTATATCGATTGCATTTATACGTTGGCAAAAGAAAGAAATTGTACTTGTTTTGTCCTTGAGTTTGTGAACTTTTCTTCTCAATGGTCCCTCAATTTGTGTTTAATTTTTTTTTTAAGATCTGTTTTTCTTTACCCAATTGATCACCTACATTGAAAAATTAATCGCACTAGCTAGGTTCTGTATATTTCCATAAAAAAAATATTTCCAAATTTTTTTTATGTTTGGGGAGCAAAAAACCGAGCGAAAAATAGCTTTCTAAAATAGGGGAAAATGACTTTCCCTATCCGAGAAAAGAAATTCATTTTCTCCACTCCCTCTACTACTCCTCCCCCAACGCCGACTCCGCCGTGTGCACGACCGATCCATGGGTGCGTGTGCTTGAACTACTGCCTCTCTCACAGCTTGTCCTCCCTGTGCCGCTCGAGCTCTGCCGGGAGCGGATCAAACGGGAGCAGCTCGTGGTGGTTGCGAGCCGGGGTTTTTGAAGGTGAAGTTGGACCGGAGCTTTAAGCGGCAGTGGTTGTGGCCATGGCTGGAGGGCGACTTCAGGGACCGAGAGACTAGCAAAAGAAGAACGGTCATTGTGATGTAGATGATTACGGAGAGTTTGCCCATCTAAGCAAATGCGTGAACCATGCAAAGATATTAAAGATCGGTCGGAGCTGCTCGTTTCTTTCGTGAAAAATGAATGATTTGCAAATATTTTTTTTATGAATAATGGCTCATAGCACTTAATTTGATGTCTAAAAATTTTCACGGGCAATAAGAAAATTTTTTGTTCGTTCATTTATTTTTGTAAGCAATATAAATGATATATTTGGCGAAATAAATAAAGATAGGTTTGACAAAAGGGTGGACTAGGGTTGATAAATTGCTACGGCAAATGTGTGATTGCGCATTTCAGGAGGTTTTGCTAGAGACTACCTTCCACTCCACTTAGAGAGGTCTCCAAGATTGGACTTGAACTTCTATTCTTGAAAAAAATATGACATATAGATAGTCAATGATCATTTTTTAATTACTTTTGTGGACCATAGACTACTGCCCAGCGCGTGCGCGTGCCTGTACCCGGGACCCCTAGGCGCGTGCCCGGTCCTTGACGCCCGGGCCTAGGTCAATAGAGGCCTCATGCGGGTCCATAGAGGCCGAGCCCAAGAGCCTAGTGCTCGTGCCTGGTTCTCCAATTGCCAGTGTCTAATTTTTTTTTTTGTATGTCTGTTATATCTCAAATTCTATTCACTCTAGGATTTTTGCTTTGCCTCGTGCAGAGTGCGGGAATCGAACCTCGTACCTATAATGTTAGCACCTCTACCCCACAATCCCTTTACCAGTTGGACCGCATGCAACCGCATGCATATTGGCATTCGGTGTCCAATTCACAAGCTTTCAAATAGTGCATAACTCAGGAATATAAAAAGCATGTTTTTCTTTTCGAATAACGAAAATAAAATTTCTAATTGATTATTTCAGTCAAACATTAGACAATATTTACTATAATTTTTTTTTTGGCTAAGGTATTACTTTTTTTTTTTTAAATATCTTCTTGACAAACATTTTTCAAAAACGGCAAACTTTTCGAAAAATAACCGAAGCCTAAAAGGCAAGCATCTTATATAAGTTATGTAGCCACCCATTGGATTTATTGCCATAAGGATAGATTTCCTTAGTTTACTCTCATTTTTGGGCTCCCAAATTTTGCAGTTGACTCAATTTGTATGAAACAGATAATATCGGCCTATATATTGACACTTTTTTCCCGTGATATAATAAACTAAAATAAAAATAATGGTTTTTATTTTCGAACTTAGAAAAGAAAAATTTATTGAAAACAAACAGCTCTTGCTTCTTCTTCTTCTTCTTTAGTTAAAGAAAGAGAAAGAACAGAGCAATTTCCTTAAACCCTCTCTGCCTCTTTTCTCTAGTCTCTCTGCCTCTGCCCATACGCCTCGCGTTGATTGGTATTGTCCTCGAGATTGCGCGCACGACAGTTATTGTCGGTAAGCCTCTTGTACCTCTAACTGCAGATGTCTTCTTTTCCGATGTGTTGATTTCCTGATGGTGTCGTGTTTCTTGTGGAAATTGGTAATTGATCTGCTAATTTTCTCATCTCATTCAGATCTGTTTTTCATTTCCCGATTAGTGATTGTTTCAGGCATATCGTCTTCTTCTTCGTTGCTTCACTCTGTATTGCCTATTCTGCGCAATGGGGCAATTCCCACTTTCTGCTTCGTCCTTGTTTTCTGCATTTTCTCCATTGGGCTCTATTTTCTTGTTTTTCTTCTTTCCAGCATTTCCAGATTTGATACTGTAAAACGGGTCTGGTTTAAAATATGCCCTTTAGGTAGAAGCCATCAAAGATTTTAGTTTCAGTGATGGTAGGAACTTTAACTTTAGGCTTAGAGCAAAATGTGTTGCGCGGAACATACTGTATTTAAGTCAACTGTCGTCCTTATTTCTGTGTTATAATCTTTAGCCTGTAGAAACTATCTGCTTAATTTTCAGTCGGCTTCAACTTCTAGTTATTGCGTCCGGTTTTTATTAGAAAGGGGCCCTTTTAGCATATTGGGGTGATCCCAGATGGATGTTGAAATACAAAAACTCAAATTTCACAGTGATAGTTCTTCCATTTAAAATATGTCGTTGCTTGCAGAAAAGAGTCTTAGCAACACCTTCAAGGGCCGATAGGGAGGAAAAGATCAAAATGCAGCAGAGGAGGTCTTCAACGGGTCGGCCAAGTGGAACTGATGGTTCGGATTTCTCCTACCGCATGGTTGTTGACTCCCGTAAGCTTCCGTTAATCCATATTGCTCTTTCACCTTGTTTTCATTTCATAGTTATTCTCCTGCTTATCATTTGGTAAGTGTTTTTATGAATTCATGTTCCTTTGCTTTTGCATTCCTTCTGTTTAGATCTTCAGAAATTTAGCATATAAATGTTTGTGCTTTTTGCTAGGGTATCAGAAAGTAGCACAAGGCAGGTCTCGCTTACGAGCATTGATCTCAATTCAGGTAAATTGCCCTCATCTATCTTTAGCTGTCTTTTTGTTTTTTCACTTCTCATGCTTCCCTTTTGCAAGTGTTTTCCTTTTTCTTCGATAGACAAAATCCACATTGTACTGTGTTAAGACTTCGTCTATGTCCTTATTCGCGTTTATTGCTGAAGAGTGACAATTGGACTGGTTAAATGTATATTGTCTTACACTCCAGAGGATATTTAAAGCGTGGCTGCAACTGTAGTTGCCAGCTGATAGGATATAAGCCATATAATGATATCGTGTTCTTGGAATTTTGTGGGATGTTCTCATGGAGGGTTACATTGTTGTTATTCACTGGATTATTGCCATAACTCCTGGTAACATTATCTCCATTTTATGAAAGTATCTTTTGAATACTTACCTTGTGTTCAGAATGTGGCTAACAGCTTAGTCTGTTTGTTGAAGGCTGTTATTCAACTAATGGGAGCAGTGCATCTAGTTCTATCAATTTCAAATGGGAATGTCCCAAGTCCACTTGCTATATCATCTCTTGCTATGGCCTTGCTGTCACTTATTGTTGGTGAATTAGGTACTTGAAATTTTCAACTTCTTCTTGAGTTTCAATGTGCATTAGCTTCAAATGCTGACCTAATTTTTCTTTTTTCTTTTTTTTTTGGTGTTGACAGGTCAAAGACGAAGTCGAGTGAATTTCTTACGGTTTTACATATTTGCAGCAGCTGCAGCAATACTTCTATCAATCGCTTGTCTTTGTAAGGTTGATTTAAGATTGGAGGTAAAGAGTTTTGTCCTCTCATAGTTCTGATTAATTATCAACAAATTGCTTACTGTTGCTTTCCATAGAGAAGAAAATTGTCAGTCATAAGCTCTTAGGAATAAGCATCTAAGAGAGAGAGAGACCTGGAAAGAAAAATAAAACATAAAAAAAGGAGACGGGGAAGCTATGAAGTTAAGGACAGAAAATTCAAAACTCAAGAAATAGTTGAACTCATGAGTGAAAAAAAAAAAAAGAGAGTATGTTGTAAGCATTCCACAGTTCGTGCTCACATACTGCATATTTTGGGAGATGGACTAGAAGAAAACTTTGTTTAAACAAATTCCATGATGAACTCTTTGATCAATTTTACCTTTTTGATGGGCATAGATACAGATGTAGCTAGAAAGAATTAGTATAGGAACAAGATAAAACTATACGCTTCTGATTTCATATTTATATGTTCTGTAGATACAATTAGTGGATGCTGGAGTTCTTTATTCTCACGGCTCTATCTATTCCCATGTAGGACATCCTTAATGTTCATCTCTTGGAAGCAAAGAAGTTCAAAATTCTTGAGGTGGGACGTGTTCTTTTTGGTGAGCTCCAGATCCCTTGGCTCTTCATCTAAATCAAGTTGTTTCATATATCAGAATGTACTCACTATGATGTTGCAATTAAATTTCACAGGATTGTTGGTGCAGGTTTTTGCTGTCAAAACAACGGTATCACTCATTAGCAACATGTCCCCACCCAAGAAAACTTCCTGAGGGTGTCTTTTGGTTTCAATGTACTAACCATTTTCAATTCAACTAGCAAGTTTAGGTTCCCCTTGCGCGCTTGTGAACTATCTGTCAAATAGCATGATGTTCAAGCTCATGGTTGTCAAATGATGAGAAACCAGCACCCTCCTTTTCTGAGCAGGCTGTAGAATTGGCTTGGGGATGCTCTTTCATTTGAAAGTTTCGGATTACAGTGTTTACCTCTCAGTATCAATTTGAGGACCTTTGGTTGTCAATAAGAGACAACAGTTTTGTTCGAAGCGATTTTGGCCATCACAGGCTCTTTTGTTGATGTCTTGTTGCATATTTTAACCACACCAAGAGGGAGAGCACAAAGACTGGTTATTCAGTTACGTTCAGTTGACAGAACAGTTTTGAGTGTGGTTATGTCTGATAGTTGTGGCCGGCCGGTCCATTTCGAAGGAATCATTCGAGTTTTTTCTTCAAAGATGAGCAAGATAAATATAAGGGGAAAGAAATTTCATCGAGGCACTTAAAGACGAAAGTTTACATGGCGGAAACAAATTCCATATAACAAAGAAAACTTAGAAGAACTTAAGTTCAGTACTTCTACTTAAGAAGCATCTCAACTTAATGATATCCTAAGACCTTAGAATCAAGCTCACAGCGGCTAAACGTACATGGTGCCACGTTTGCCACACATCAGTAGTAGGAGCAATACAATACAACGTAGCTATCCATGAAGAGAGGCGTATGCATTGATCAAGGCCAGAGCATTACTAGTGAGGTGAGAAAGAGTCACAATCCGGGCTCTCACGACCGTCTTCACTTTCCCATCCATCGACTTCCCTGCAAACCCATCGGAGCAAGTGTCCTGGTCCGTCAAGGCGGCGCTCACCCAAGTTTGCACGTCGCTGATCTTCCGCTCGAAGTCTCGTCCTTTCGTATCCTTCATCTCGGCGATGGACCTCCTGAGCTCATCGACCGCGTCGCTCAGCTCCTCCACGCAGTCCTGCATGGCCGCCGCCTCTCTAGGCTTCAAGCCTTGGCTTCGGGACAGGTTCGCCATCATGGCCGACGCCGAGCACGCATCATTCAGGGTCACGTCCAGGGCCGTGGAGGCGAGGATCTGAGGACTTGTCTGGATGGCGGCAGCGTGGCTCGAGAGGGAGCTGAAGCAGAGTTGAGGGTAGCTCGTTTTGCTGCATGACGTTCTGATGAACTCAGTGCTAGCTCCGGAGGCAAGGTCTCTAAGGGCTGAGCTTGGGGAGGTGTAGGATGCGATGGCTAAGAAAAATAGAAGGGTCGTGGCAAAACTCTTTGCTTTCGAGGCTCCCATTATTTTCCCTCTATGACTATATTGGCTTTCTCTCGGTATGAAGGGTGTGGGATAATTAACAACTGGGGGAGAGAGTTCCAAACTTATAGAGGATTAGATGTCGCTATCCAAAACTACTTTTTGAACTGATTTTTTTTTATCCTTTCCGGATGAAAATTGGTTTTTTCAGGTGCTTGGGTTTGAACTTGCTATGCAGCCATCGTAAGGTTTGAGCAAACGAGCAGGCACTTCCCCAAATCGAAGTTAAATGCCAAAGCTTTTTCCGTGAGTAAGTTTCTCATTTCCAAAAATGCCGAATTGGAGTATCGAACTAGTCTCGCGGACGTATGGATGACCCGAATCATGCTTATCCCAGATATGATCTACTCAGCGAAGATTTTTGTGGAGCTTGAAGTTATCAGTCACCCCAATGGTGATCGTAATGTCACCAGCAACCAAGAGGGAAGGCGGCTACCAGGTGTGTGAAAGCTCATTTCAGTCTCTATAGACCGCTTTGTTTTGTTTTCTTTACTCCCATCGATTAGGGGAGATCATGGTTCCAGGCTCTATCCTAGAACCTGAGAACCTAACCGGTGAGAACCTGTAGGTTCCAGGTTCCAAGATATATAGGGTAGGTTCTAGATTTCAAAAATTGAGAAACCTATTTCGATGGGTAGATTTCAAGTTCTAGATAGGTAGAACCTGGAACCTGAAACCTAAATAAGTTTTTTGTGGTTTTTTCTTGATTTATGTTTTCACGTGATCCTGTGGTGTTTCATGGCGTTAGATGATGAGTGTATAATTTGGAACTACTAGTCTGAGCTTTCATTTTATGACTTGTTAATGTTTCATATTCATCGTATGTATAAATATAAATTGTAGTCAGTGAATCGAAGTAACAAGTGATGGAACTTGGAACTAACCTGGAACCTGTGATAGGGTAGATTTCAAATTCCAAAAAATGAGGAACCTATTCTCATGGGTAGGTTCCAGGTATAACCTGTACAGAACATGTAATTACTCACCCATAGTATCGATTCACGCAATGACTTCTTATTTTAGCTGTATTTATTTGAACCGTAACGTCAGGAAAACTAGTCATTTGTATTCTCTTTGGTGAATGACAAGCTTGTTCGGTATTGTTGCGTTCATTTTCGTTTTTGTTTAACTAAAAATAAAATAAAATAAAAGAACCTGTTAGACCCTGGAACCTACTTCGGAACCTGTAACAGGGTAGGTTCTTGATTTCAAGTTCCGACGGGTACGTTTCAGGTTCCAAAAAATGAGGAATATGTACCCGATGGTAGGTTTCAGGTTTCTTGGAACCTAAAATCGCTCACCCCTACCATCGATGTGAGGTCTCGGGGCGTGAAGATACTTCACGCAACTTCACTAGTCTCAATCCCTGAAGCTTAACTCGAAATCCATGCTCCTTCACAATAGACTAACCTCTCTGTTTTTTAAGACTTATGGCGTAGAAAACTATTGACTTTGCTGTCATATTCCACTGCTTCAAGCTGTGGACATTGATTATGCTATTCGGAAAGTCCAAAGATGTGGGTCCGTCAGCACAGCTCGCCATACATGTCTGTCCTACGTTAGTATACCGTCCAAACGGGCTGATGTGTAGGGTAACGGTTCAATCGTTCGAGGAGGAGTATCGAGGAACTGTTTACACGAGTGTCCCCCATATTCGGAGAGTGTACAGCATGAGCAAAAGTCCTTTCCCAAATTGTGGCCATGGAAGGCATTGATTCTCTAGTTACCTTTTCCTAAATTTGGTACGTTTCCCACATGGGTCGGGGACCATAAGCTCGCGTCTTGCGGGATGATTGATGTGTCAGAAAACAATTCAAGCGCAATGCCGTGGCTAGCGTTATGAAGATTATGAATTTAATACGTTGTATCGAGTGCGAAATTATAAGATATTCCCCGTTCTCATTATTGAACAATAACATGTTCACAAACTTATCAACGTCGCATCATCACAATATTTTATCACATATGGTTGTTTCGTGCAGGTGTGGAACATGCACGAAATCATACTGAATAAAAACGTATTTAAACTAAAGGCTGCTCCGTTATGAGCCGAAGCGGACAAATCTGCGTTGGTCCCATCGGTTGTTATGGATGCTGAATGTCCCCATCAATGATTTTCTCACGTTGTCTTCGATGATGATTTGATAAGTGATCCCTCTCTTTCAGCGACCTGGATCAATCCCCATGATCAATCAGATTCCGCAGGCGTATATGAGGGAGGCCATGACCGGTGGCGAGTCGCAGAAACGAGCACGGCAACGAATAATGTCGAATGATTGATCGGGCATCTTGAAAGACATCTTTCGGGGACATCCGTCCTCGTCGCAAGTAAAGAAATCCGAAGCAGCGGTCCAGGAAGGTCAGGGGCCGTTTGGATCAAGGACGCAACACTCGCGGGGACCGTTGTTCTCGAAAGGTTCTAATTTGCAGAGTGTATGTACACCGGATTCGCGTTAAGGACATTCTATAACAGTCATCTTGCCCAAATCACCCAATGAGCAGGAAAGATTATGGACATCGTTCTGTTCTGGTCATATGTTAACCAAATCGATCGCGTGTTTCAATATTTTAATTTCTGAAAGGGAGAGGCAACGATGAAATCTATCTAGAGTCAGGTAACTTGACCCTCTTAGATGTTCAACAGAAGATGTCGACCCCACCTCAGTCAAAGCCAAAGATCTAATTGAAGATTGCAAGTCTATGAGAAAACAGTTTCCCTAGTACTTAATTAATGAAATTCACCTGTTCTTGACAAAGAAGAGCAAAAAAATAAGGCTAGGCATCGCATATTAGCCCCTTCACATGGCTCAATCAAATCAATTCGATCCAACGTCCGTTTGTCATAGCGAACTTGCATCGAGGACATTAGCACGCCCTACAAGCATGTCGCGGAGAAATAATCAAAAAAGTATCGAACCTATTGTGCCTACGTCAATTCAATCCTACAATTTGGCCAATTTTATTGGGGCGTGGTTCATTGTCCCTAACGATAGAAAGGCATAGGGATCCCGCTCCTCGATGAGCGGGTGGAAGTCCAGGGCAGTCGTAGGAGGCAGCACCCTTGGCCGCCAAAGAGCTTTTATAGTTTTGGCCCGTATTTTATTGGTAGTCTGAGCTCCCGTGAATAACTGTTGCCTATATATAATATATTTCTATTGTAATTGATAGTTATAACAGAGAGGTGGGAGGTGTTAATTATAATGGAATCCTCTGCTGGATGTAGCCCTAGTTTAAATGTGAACCAGGATAATCCTCGTGTCTCGATTTATGTTTCTTGACTTTACACTCTATTTTTTTTTTTTTGGTTAAAGACTTTACTCTCTATTTCGTTGTACCTAATCCTAACAAATTTAACCATAAACATTTTGACAATTTGTCAATTCAGTCCTAGACCTTTCATCGTGCCAATTTACTCCTAAACCTTCTGACGATTTTCGAATTTAATCTTTCCAGCTAATTTTGGCCGGAAATAGCTTGCGTGACGGTCTAGTTAACGCCGGCCATCCCACGTGGCACGGCCGAAGCGGACAAATCTGCGTTTGGGCCCATCAGTTGTTGAGGGATGTTGACATGGCCTGTGCTTTTGCCCACGAGACGAAAAATATCAAAGCTCGAACCATCTTCTTCATTTCACACACCAGAAGGGTGGCCGAATGGCCCATCATTAATTTTCCTACGTTATCTTCCATGATGATTTGATGAGCGATCCTGCTCTTTTCAGTGACCGGATTAACGCCCACGATCAATTAGATTCCATAGGCGCATATATATGAGGGAGGCCACGACCGGTGGCGCATCGGAGAAATGAGCACGGCCCTGAATAATGTTGAATGATTTGATCGAGCATCTTGAAACATATCTTTCACGGAATTTCTTGTCGTGAGAAATGAAATCCGAAGGAGTGATCCAACAAGTTGGGGCCGATTGGATTGAGGACACAATGCTCGGGAAAATTCGATAAGGATCATAGGCCTATTGTACGGATGTCAATTTAGCTCTAAACCTTTTAATTTGGCTAATTTAATCCTAGACATTTTGACGATTTGCCAAAAAAATTGGCTAGAAATTGCTGATGTAGTTGCCGGTCTTCCTACGTGACATAGCCAGCAATGACGTAGACAATTTTTGCAATTCTTTTTTGAAAAATTGAATTTTTTATAATTGTTTTCTTTTTTTTTTATTGTGGCCAGCAACCCTCCCCGGCCACGAAGGCCCTCGCCCGTGTCTAGGCCAGTGAGGTTCTCTGGCCACAATAAAAAAGAAAGAAAATTAAAAAATTAAAAATTCAATAATTCAATAAAAAATTATCTAAAAATCGTTCACGTCAGCACCGGCTTTAGAATAGCCGGCATCCACGTCAACGATTTCCAGCCAAAATTGGCTTGAATAACTCAATTGACGAATTGTCAAAAAGTTTAGGATTACATTAATCAAATTTGAAAGGTTTAGGATGGAATTGGAACCCGTACAATAGGTTTAGGATTTTTTCTGTAATTTCCCCGTAACGCTCACGGGACTGTCATTCTCGTGAACATGTTGGAGAGATCAAGAAAAATGTCCATGCACCTCTCACTTGGGGTTCTACTTCGCAAAGTGTATATACCCCGGATTCGCGTGAAGGACATTCTACAACAATTATTTACCCAAATCACCCAAACGAGCTGGAGAGATTATCGACATCGTTCTGTTCTGGTCATATATGTTACCAAATCTATCGCGTGCTTTAATATTTCAAATTTCTGAAAGGGAGAGGCAACGATAAAATCTATCTAGAGCCAGATAACTTTGACCCTATTGCATGTTTGACCGTAGATGTCGACCCACCTCAGTAAAGCCAAAGATGTGATTGTTTACTGCGAGTCTATCATGAAGCTGTTTCGGTTCTTATCATGTCGAGATGCACTCTTCTTGTACTCATCTAGTAATTACTTAAGTAATGAAATTCACTTGTTCTTGACATAAAGAAAAAAAGGTTAGGCATCGCCAAACAAGCATGTCGCCACGCCTTTTGGACAAACCGGCATTGATGCGCCGATAATGACAGTGATTATTAT